ACCGGTTACAAACTTTTTATTACCAGCGCACAATAGACCTGTTACTGCAAAAATTTCCCTCTGGTCTGTGGTTGAATTGAGCAGCTACTAAAACTCCAAAGACTTAAGTATATAAATATGAATTTGTATTTGTTATCCAAACATGCATACGAATATGCATAACTACATATGGGGTATTCTTTTTCAAATCGGACACCCAATTTGACACCACACTTCCGATTTGCTTCAAACGCGGTTTACGAGGCGTTTAGATAAAATAAGTTGACAAGTATCCCAGGATCTATTTTTAAAATTTTATTCTTCGAAGATCTGTCAAAGTTTAGATATTTTCATGAACCAGGCTAATCTTATACCTATTCAAATCGGTATATCTCAGCCCCTACTCATCGTAGAGATTTCATCTTAACATCAGTTGAATGCTAGGGAAACAAGCTCTATTAATTTTTTTTTATTTTACCGTTTATTTTTATTTTATTTTATTTTTTTTTGTTAACAGTTAAATGTTTTAATGTTGATTCTCGGAGTGTTTACACGAAATCTTTAAGTTTAAAATATAAAAACAAAACTACTCGCGCATACAAAAAACTCTCAAATGGTGTTAAGGTGAAATCTCTACGATGAGTAGAAGCCGAGATAAACCGATCTGAATAAGTATAAGATTTGCCTGGTTCATGAAAATATTGAAACTTTGACATCTCCGAAGAANAAAGTTATAATACCCTTGTGCACAAGTGCGCTCGGGTATAAAAATAAATCCTGTAATACGTGTCAACTTATTTTATGTAAAGAACTCGCAAACCGAGTTTGAAGCAAATCGGAAGTGTGACTTCATATTTGAACGAAATCCGTCCGATTTGAAAAAAAACGCCTCATATTTACTCACGTTTGCGTTGGGTATTTTTTCATGCTTAACCAAAATAATTTCGAGTGAAATTTCATTTCATTTTATGGTTTTGCACTTTCTGTTATTTGTGCATTTAAATTTTTTATAACTTGTCATTTGGTGGTTTGTTTTTCATTTTATTTGCAACATTACCATGTGCTGACTCTGTGCGAAATTGCTGCTGCGGCCACCAACAACACTCCAGAGTCTAAAAGTAAAATGAGCAAATGTGCTTACCTACATACATATGTATGTATTTACAAATGAATTTGACCAAAGTAGAAATGTATTGATATGTGTGTAAACACTGTGCATACATATATATATATACGTTTACTTAAATAAATTTTTGTGAATGCATAATTTTTTTTTTTTTATATTTTCGACTTGCTTTCTCTGTAAGCACCAAATTTCCATATAGACATAGGTTCATGAATGTAAAACCATGACTCCAAGAGTCACGTTAATCAAGTTGCCGCACATGTGCACTGGTACATTTAAAAGTATGCAGGCAACAAACAACCAACAAATAAATGTTGCAAAATTTGCCACATAAATGTCACTAGACATTTTGCAAATATTTTTTAAGGGTAATGTAAGTAAATAACTCGTGCCTTAAAAAGTAGTTTCCAGAGCTGCAAGCAACAACAGTTTTTAGGTCAACAAAAAGTTGACGAGATGCTGGTTTGTGGAAATGGGAAATGGAAATAGCAGAAAATTTTATAAATAAATGCACACACACACACACACACACACACTACTTCGCAGGAATTAACACAAGCATAATTGCACTTATATGGCCGTTGTGCGGCTATATAGTGTTAAGAACTTCCGCCAAGAAAAATATAAAAAACAACAGACACTCAACTGCTTAGAGTGGAAAGTTGTAAGCAACAAAGCAAAGGATAACGACCGGCAAACAGCAAATACTACTCTGTGTCAAGTCAAGTCAAGACGAGAGCGCTGAGTACGCGGCTATACTAGGAGCAGGCAGGTGGAGTATAAAAGGAAGAAAGGGGCGATACTTACAACAACTGCTGATAACAACTATTATGCTTACATGTACTACTTATTTGTATGTTCATCCTCGTATTTACTATAACTTTGTGCGCGTCTATATACTGTGTGGTACTGCTTGAGAGGAAGATGTGCCGTTATTGCTGCCCACATATGCCTCGTTAAGTCACATGTTTATGGTTTTGTCTAAGCAAAGAGTGCATTCATTTGTTCTAATGCAGATGCCATTTGAGTGGAAAAAATTACGAATAAACAACTGCCCAGAGTTGGAGGCAAAAGGAGGAGAGCATTGTGAAAGAGTTGGCGGAGATGGGAAAAGCGCTTTTAGATAATCCGAGTAAATAGATATTTATTTTTATTTTAGTAAACTATGTTTACATACAGTGCCTACTAAAATGTTCAAGGGATTGAGCTTATACTTTTTATTATTATGCTAAACTAAATGTGTCGTAATTTGTAAAATTGGTAAGTTATATCTAGTAAAATTATTAAGGGGCTAAATAATATTTTGACGGTTACAAAAATTTCTATTTCTGCGCATATTTTCCTCGCAAAATGTGACATTGTCATTGAAATTACTTATAAATGTAAGACTTTTGACTAAAATTAAGAAATATTTACTGAAAAAATTTGAAAAAATAAACAAACTACGTTTCCAAAAATTTATTGAAATTAAAAAAAAATTTATAAGTATATAGTTTCCTTTTTAAAACAACAAAATCTTAAAAAAAAATAATTAACTAAGTTTCTAAAAGTCAAATTAAATTTAGAAAATGTAGGACAATGAAGTCTTATAATAAAAAGAAATTTAAATTTAAAAAAATAAAAACCTTTTAATGATAAATTAGAAATAAATCCACTTAAAAAGAGAAAATATTACTTAAAAATTAAATGAAATTAATCAAAAGGATTTTTATTTTTAATCGAAAAATCAAAAGCAAATTTATTAAAAAACAAAAAAAAATCCTAAATATTAAAAAAAAAAAATATTTTTCTTTTTAAAGCAATAAATTCTAAAACAAAAAAAAATTAAATTTAAAACTAAAAAATACTGACGGAAAAATTCTAAAAAAATATGTTTCCAAAAATTTTATTAAATTATAAAAATATATCTATAGTTTTCTTTTTAAAAACATAAAATCTTTACAAAATTTAATAGAATAGGTTTAAAAAAATGTAATTAAATTTAGAAAATACAAAAGAAAATTAAATTTAAAAAATAAAAAATAAAATTATAATAACCTAGAAAAAAAAATTAAATTAAAAAAAAAAATAGTACTTAAAAGTTAAATGAAATTAACCAAACGCATTTTTATTTTTTAAACAAATTCTAAAAATCAAGACAATTATAAAAAAGATTCTAAAAATTAAATTAAATAAAAAATATATCTTTCTTTTTAAAAAACTAAAATCCTAAACCAAAAAGAAAATTTCAATTTAAAAATAAAAAAAGATTTACTTAAATATAAACAAAATAAGTTTCTACAAATTTAATGCAATTAAAAAAATATACACATACTTTTCTTTTAATAACAATAAAATTGTAAAACTTTTTTAAAAAGTATAAATATAAGCTTTTGTTATTTTAATTAAATAAAGAAAATTGTAATTTTTTAAGGCAGTGAAATCTAGAAATAAAAAGAGAATTAAATTTAAAAAAGAAAAATGTATAATAAAAAAAATTGGTGCCCGAGGTTTCGAACCCGGACTTCGCGAAATGCACACCAATGTTCTGCTCACTCGGCCATTGCGACTGGTGGGAGCGACGCGAGTTAAATGATATGTATACAAGTATTGTATCGCAAAAAAGCTTCTCACCACAAATGTGAATGAGAGAGCGTTTTTTCTAAGACTCTTATACTAACTAGAATAACATAAGTTTATCGAACTATCTTGTCATCTGTCTTTCCCTTGTCTTACGAAAGACTTTTTAATATCAGTGAGATTAGAAATATCGCCTTGTTTATATCCACGCAAGTGCGCATTAACAAAACCCCATTTGACTTAACACATATTTATTTCAAGCGTTGGTATGTACCTCTGTATTTTCTAAAACATGCGTCTTATTTCAAGTCTGGACCAATCGATAATAATATTCCTTTTTTAAATAATAATCTTCAACGTCTACATTTCCAAGTCGTCTTTTATGTAAAAAAGAGAAAAACAGTAAATAAGTGATCAAACCTTAACGTGAATAATCCCTGACACTTAAAGAATTGCTTTCACTTGAAAAATAAGCACTTGCTTTTGTGGGTTTAGTGCCAAACGCAACTAAACTGGGTAGCCGATATTGCACCGTTTGTGTATTTTTTTGGAAATGTACCATTGTACTACCACCAAATGGCGGTCAGGCAACACACGGCGGTGAAGTTGACATAGCCATCGGGAAGGCGAAAGCTCCCAAAGCCATGGGACAGGACGGAATATGCATGTTCATGCAGAAAACTTTGGGTCCTGCGGGAGTAGACTATTTAGCCATGGTCCTCAACCTGTCAATGGCCACTCTCGTCATTTCAGACATCTGGAGGATGGGGAGACTGCTCAAACCGGGTAAACCAGCCAACAAAGGAGTCTTATCGTCCGATGACCCGCCTTTCCCCGGTAGCTAAGGCAATACCGGCCTTGCTACTCCCGTATCTTGCGAACCACCTGACCCCAGCGAAGCATCAGCATGGTTTCCGTAAAGTGCGCAACAGAACAACTGCGCTTAACGCCAAAAAGACCCAGACGGACCTAAACCGCAACCGCCCCTGTGAGAGAACTATTCTAGTAGCGTTGAATCTGTCAAAGGCGTTTGATACTGTCAGTCCCTCCACGCAGCTAGAAGACATAGAGGCCTCTTTTTCTCCAACATAGACTCAAACGGTGGTCGGCGAATTATCTGAGTGGTCGACACTCGTCAGTAATTTTTACAGACAAATCGAGCAAACCTAGAAAAATAAAACAGAGGGTTCCACAGGGTGGTGTCCCTTCCCCATTACTGTTTAACTACTATATTTCCAAGCTCCCTCAACCACCAGAGGGAGTCTCGATTGTCTCTTACGGCATCTGGAAAAGGAATTGATGACTTGTGGTCGAAAGTAAACGGTTACCTCTAATAGCTTTCTCGCTTCTTCACTGCTAGGAGCCTGACCCTCTCCCCTACAAAATCCTCAGCTACCGTGTTAACCACCTTGACGAAGGAGGTTGGACTACCGCTGGGTATTCACGTTGATGACGCACCGATTCCGGCGGGGAATTAACCAAGAATACTCGGAATAACTTTTGACAGTCTGCTCTCCTTCTCTGCGCATACAACCGCAATTGTAAACAAAGTATAGAGCCTTCTAAATTACGCTGCACCACTGTTGTCACCGGGAACCAGTAGGACGCAGTGGATGCCAGGTGCAGACAACTCAGAAACCAGCACTCGACGAAACATCAGCAAATTCTCCCCATAAGGGAGCAAACCACAATGTTCTGCAAGCAATTCCGGCAAAAATGCTGCTGGCTCATAAGAAACAATCTGCTATTATTTATTTGGGAAAAATGCCTAAAACATTTTGATCGATCCGAAATGGGTTCATCCTTACGAAATTGATGGTGAGTCGAATTGATTGCCGAACAGCTTTTGTTTACATCTGAAACGTGTGCGTATGTATCTACAGTGTGAGTGTATTCAGCTCTCAGGTAATTTATTTTTATTTTGAAAACCTCTTCGTGAAATCCGTTTCCGTAACTTTTGTCATTTGTTTCCTAAAAGCAACCTAATGATGAGTTTTTTGACGCACTGTAACTATAATGTAAGTAAACTGCTAAGCAGGGAGACCTCCTTGCTGTAAGTGGTATGTAAATAAATATCCTTTTTGCTTGGCGTGTTGCCAAAAACCACAAAACAAATGAACTGGAACGGAGCGAATAACAGGCGCACAGCCAAAATAGCAATCAGGAAGCAAGAGCGAAGCGAATGAGAAATGAGTAGAAGAAACAACGAATAACTAAAATATTGCGTGACAAATAGAAAAAAATATGGGGCACAGCAACAGCGTAAACATGCCAGTATAGCTTACTATAAGAAGGTAAGAGAGAGTACAGAAGTAATGTAGGTATACTGTAGGTAAGCTAACATCAACAAATGGAACGGAATAGAGCTGGCGCTACGGTGGCCCTACAATACTATGTATGCAAGTAGCACAACGCTCAAGGGCTTCCGCAACAACTTCGGGGGAGGCATTCACTCAAGGAAACTAGCTTTAATATTAAAGGAAATATGGCGCCTTGGCTGTTATAGCTGACTACTCCCAGGCTAACAAAACTGCTATGAAGATTTGGGTTTGTATACATACATGTTTATGTATGCGTATATATAAATCAGTGGTCGGACTAAAAAACTTCTATTTGGTAGAATCTGGAAAAAATGTGATAGATTTAACAAAAAACGTTGCAGATCTTAATCTTAAGAGAGTTTATTTATTTTTCTTTTTGTTATGTATTACGAAACAGAAAATATAATAAGTACTTACAATGTCGGTTTCCAGGGTCGCCTAAGTACCTTGAAAAATGCGGACTTAAGGCGTAATTTGGATGTGCTAAAACCATTCCTAAATGATCCTGTAGTAAAATTCAGTCTCAATGCTACTGAACCCGACCTTGATAAAGCCCTACAATAATACACTGAGGTTCCAAACTTGAGGATAGGAACACTGGAGACGGCCTTTATAGACCCAGGTTTCAAGAAATAGTTCCGATGGTCATAGGTATGCCCAACCATATTCCAAGCGGAAGTTTTCGCAATTGAAGTGTGAAGAAGTCTTCGAAGAAGGACTAATAGGGCTACGATAACCATCATGTAGCATAGCCGGGCCACGTTAAGAGCACTTGACTCTTGCAAAACGGTGTCAAAGCTAGTAGGCAATTGCTTATAGGTACTGGAAAACCAGGAACCAATAACAGGGTAACCTTGTAGTGGGTTCCCGGCAATGAGGGCTACGATGGCAACGAAAGGGCGGACACTCTAGCGAAGATAAAGAACAGATCGGCTATACCATATTATGTTATGTTATGTTGTGTTATGCTATGTTACGTTATTTTATGTTGTTAAGTTATGTTATGCTATATTATCTTTTATGTTATGCTAGGGAATCTCTTATGTTGTGTTATGTTTTATTATTAGCTTATTTGTGTTTTGCTATGTGGTGTTTTATTATGTTATGTTGGATATATTATTTTATGTTGATTTGTTATATTATGCTTTATTATTTTATGTTATGTTATGGTATGCTATGTTTTGGATACTACGTTATTTAAAGTTATTTATGTTGTGTTATGTTATGTTATATTATGCTATGTTTATGCTAGGTTATATTGTAGTGTTTTATAACAATGTTATGATATGTTATGCTATGTTAAGTTAGGTTGTACAACGCATTTCACCTCATTTCACCTCAGCTCAACTCACCGTAACTCACCTCAACGCACCTTAATTATAATAGCTAAATTTCACCTGCAGGGCGAACACCAGTAATAATAAGAAGGACGCGAAATTTTAACAAGTTTTGGCTATTTTTCTTCTGTTTGTTTAGTGTTTATTTTTTAATTTTTTATTTTTTATAAAACTACAGGGTGTCCTAGACCACTTGTACATCCCCTCTAGAATGCTGAGAAATATTTTTTATTGAAAACCGCAAAATTTTTACCTACTAAATCGGGGATGCTCTATTTTTTTGTGTTATTACCGACATCCAGTTTCGACTAAAAATGGGTTAAAGTAATTCCGAACTTTAACTTGTCCTGGATTCCTGTTGAAAAGCGTTGAAAAAGGCACTTCTGAGAAAAAATATTCAAACAACAAGTTATGTATTTTTGTCCACAGAATCCGAATCTGTAGTGAAAACATGTACATCTTATTAGAAAATTGACTTCCGGTCAGTTTGACCCACTTCCGTTCGAAACCGGAAGTCGGTTATACCACCCACAGATAGAGCATCCCCGATTTAGTCTATGTTGTAGATGCTGAAAAATGTGCTAGATCTACTACAATGGGGTAGTAGTCCGAGCACTGGTATACATAAATACACACACACACATACACGCAGTTGTTTAAGTTTTACTTGACCCATTTGTGGACGACATAAGCAAATCGTTATTCTCTCCCACTTTTGTCATTGCTGTTGTTGCAGTGACCATTCGCCGTTAGCTATTGTGCAACTTGCATCTTATCCCAGTCACTAGCATTGGCAGCTAGCTAAGGAATTTTATGACCATTGAGGCGAAACTTTGACGTTAGTTTTGTTTTTTGCTTATGTTCTGACTTTTTGCGTTTGTTTTAAGTATTTGTTGTTCTTTAGCTTGTTTTCCAGTGATATTATTGTCCTGTTGCTCGACTTTTGTGCATATAAAGTTGCCACAAACGTTTACTTAACGCCAAAAGGCAAAATGCATATTCTTGCCCCTTTCATTCTATGCATATTCTTTTGATATTTTCATAGCTTTGATTACTGCATATTTTTTGTTATTTGTGTTTTTACTTTTGTTCATTTCTAGCGTCGGTAATAAACGTTGCTTTTATGACGTCAATTCTTGCCACACACGTACCAACATGCTAGTTTTTCTTTTTTTGATTTTCTGTAAAATTTTGTTTTGTATTTGCATTGGCCGCCGTTTCAAGTTTTGCAATTTTCTATGACTTTTGCTTCTTTGCTGCTCTTTTCTTTCTACCTTACTGCTGTTCTCTTAGAAAGTATGTTTGCAGATCGCATCCCCAAAGGCGCGGAAATACAAATTCATTTACATGCCAAATGCCTTTGGAGACCTCTCCATTACGATACAACTATGCAATTGTGAGCGTGTATTTATGCGAACATTTGGCTATGCAGGTCAACATGTCAGTTGCAATTTGCGATTGCAACAGTTGGCACCAGTGCGGTTGGTGTAATAAACAGCGGTTTGCTGTTATTTTTCCACGCATAACGAATGACTTTTGCTGCAGAATCTGCGACCAAGGGGATATCTACTATTAGAGCTGGCAATATGAAAATAGTAGCTGCTGTGTTTGCAATAAGTTAATAAAACGGAATTTACATTCTACCACCATTAAAATTTTAAATAAAAATTGTGACAGGACAAGCACTAAGTCCGGCGTACCGACCGTCATCATCTGGCTTACACATCGATTGGAAAGGATCAGGGGAACTCTATGAAGACGAAGATGATGCCTAAATAATGATATTGAAAAACACCAAAACTTCTGGTGTCTGGACTTGATCTTTTGCTGTGATAGCAAAAAATCAGAGGATTATAATCGTCAGAGATGATATCAGGAAAGAAAGTAGGATCCTTGGAAGTGGGTCTGACTCGCAATAGCAAAAGTGCAGTTAGGCAGGACAACACAAATTTAAGGGTGTGTAATTACCTGTGAGGTTACAAAATCCATGGAGCTTTGCAAGGCTGCGATCGATAAAAAGCTTAACAGGGCAGTTATGGCCAAGATAGTAAAAAAGTAAAAGGTAAAACAGTTTGAAAGACTTTTGGTATTCTAGCACAAAAGTCTTGGAAAAAAGCACTCTCATTCACCACTCACGGTGAAAAGCTGTTTTGAGAGAAAGAGTTTTTGCATCATTTAGCATACATGGCTCCAACAGTCGCAATGGCCGAGTGAGCAAAGTATAGGCGTGCCATTCGAGTGATTCGATTTCGAGTCCCCGGGAAGCAGAATTTTTTCTTCCTTTTTTTACAATTTTTTAATTTATTTTCTCTTAATTCTTAGATGTTATTATTTAGAAAAGAAACATATTTTTTTATTTTCATTTAATTTTTAATAACTTATTTTTTTAATTTAATTTGTTTTTCTTTTTTCAATTTTACTTTCCTTTCGAATTTTTTATTTTATTGTTTGAAGTAACAAAAAAATTTATTTGATTTTTAGAAACTAATTTTATTTATTTTTTGTTTTTAATTCAATCTTTATTTTTTTCTTTATTTCATGTTCTTTTAATCTTTAAATTTAATTGTTCTAAAAAGAAAAATATGTTTTGTATCATTTAATTTTTAGAAACTTATTTTATATATTATATATTTTTTTAATTCCTTTTGGTTTTTCTATTGCTAATTTCATTTTTTCTTTGATTTATTAATTTAATTTTTTTTGTCTTCTTTTAAATTTACTTTTACTTTAATTTTTAGAAATTTTAAAAATTAAAATACTTTCATTTTTTCACTTAATTTAATTTTTAAGTACCATTTGCTTTTTGATTTTTTTGACGAAGAGAATTGTTATTTTAAGTATATTTTTTTATTTTATTTTTTTCTTTATTTCAACTTTTTCTTGTTTGCTTCTTATTGATTTTTTTCTTTTTCTTATTTAATGTTGAGATTTTATTTTTGCATAAAGAAGAGAATTGTTATTGTAAGTATATTTAATTTTTAAAACTATATATATTTTTTGCTTTATATAAACTTTTTCTTGTTCTAATTTATTTTTC